TCGAAGTCACCAGCGTGACGAATGGCACGTTCATTATTGGCTTTAATATCGATATTATTGCATGGGTCCATGCAATGGCAAAGGAGACCTCAGGCGCGCATGAGTGGCATGGGCTCTGGAGCGCTGCTTGTTTGGGTCTGGCCGCTGCAACACGTGAGTCGATGGGACTGCCATTGGCGCTGTTCTGCTTGCCTGGTGCGGTCGCCCTCGACTGCCAGGCACCTGCCTGGGTCATGATCAGGATCACCTACCCACCGGGCTTCCCCACGGATGGCATCACCTTGACCGGTGATCATCTCGTGATTGGTGCTGAGGATCCAGCCCCCAAGCGCACCGAACCGGGCATCTATGGCTGCGATGCGTGTCCGGTGGTGACGACGGTGATCCATGAGCCTTTGGATCGCTTGGCCTGCCATCAGGGTTGTGAGCCCAGAACAGTCCTTGAGGTTGAGACTGACGCGGCGACCATGCGCTTTCAGGGCATGGTGTCGGGCGCCGGGGACGGATACTGGTATGTGGCTAGGACGGATGGGAGTCGGCAGGGAACCGCCGGTGATGGTGCGGCCAGCGGCCGCATTACTACCAACAGCACAGGGAACTTCTCATTCTTGGTGCCGCTCTTCTGCGGTGATCAGGTGATCAAGGTGACTTGGTGGAACTCCTCAGGCCCCTTGGTGCTCGTGTACCGGGTTCGGACTACGGGTTGTGCCTTGGATTTTCTCTTCCACCTGGACTGGGATGCTGAGACGCGCGGGCATCGCGACCTGTTGGATGCGGGATGGAGACACTTTCTGGCACAACATGGCGCCAGCCTGGGGTGGGAAACTCAGGTGGGATTGCATTGACGATTGCACTCACGAGACCATCACGCTGCGAGATGAGAGTCGACAGTCCAACTTGTACTACCTCTTTGTGCACTACTACGACGGCCATTATACCTCTGGCTCTGCCAGTGTCTCCATCTGCACCAGATCTTGCCAAATCGTCAAGGTTCGGCTCCCTGCAGTGGACTCTGTGAAATTGGTGGCGACCATCGATGGTATGACTGGTGAGGTTAATGTGAGCAATCGGGACTACGAGCTTACCTTGTCCACGTTCTGCCCTGGAATGGATCTCTTTGAGACCCTGGAAGTTCTCTTGGAGAACACGACGGTTGTCACTCGAGCGCTCCCAGGGCTTCCCGTCGGCCCCAAAAAGTCTAGGCCGGGCGTCTAGGCCTTGAGACCCAGCTGTGAGTCTGCTTATTGTTTGAAGTCCTAATTGGGAGTTTCCAAAA